TTCACAAACTCAATACATCATGTTTTTTAAGTATGAACCACTTTATAATTTTTTTTAAGGCGAACCTGGATTTCGTTTCCCAACGAATTTATTACCAGTCTCAAATAGGCCGGACCATCTCTGGAGTGCCATAGTCTATACTCATTTAGTTAGCATGTACATATTTTATTTTTATGGACCATTGTATTTAACCATCAGAGTTAACCATTCAGATTTCGTCGCAATGTTAATATTATTTGTCACGTTCCATACGGGTATGTTTATTGTTTATTTACGAAAGGACATTATTGTATTCTCCTTGTTTTAGTAATAATAACCCAACCCTGTTACTCTCGTAACTTAAATTTAATTGTCGTCATATTATTAGCTACGCAGCACTGGTTTAGAAAAGGTCGATCAACTTAAACTGTCTACGACCAAATTTCTGATAACATTTTTTTCTAAAAGTTTGAAAGTAATATTGTAAACTATTTCTCGGGGTTGAGGTTTTAAATCAAGCATATAAAACACCGATATCCAATTTTAAGTAAGATTTTATGGTATAACGGCCACAGACCAAAAGCGAATGAATACATATAACACAAACCGTCTCAACGAAGTCAGGTATGCGTATATCTTTTTCAAGTGTTACAAACTAAGATATCATCCTAAAACAATAAGGTTGTCTTTCCCTTCGACTGAGCATTATTCCAGAAAACCACTTGTGATTTTTACGGTCAGCGGCGTACATAGCCGTTCACAATATCTATGTCTAATTTGTTAACAATCAAAAGGTTAAATTTGGAGTGAGGGTAGCCATATGTGAGTAGTAGGGATTAAGTGTAAGGGGTTAAAGAAAAGGTCCTTTATTTCTCACAAGTCAAAACGATCTGTAGCTACTGGCTAAAGTTGCTGGACTGGCAGTATGATTTGGAGTGAGGGTAGCCATATGTGAGTAGTAGGGATTAAGTATAAGGGGTTAAAGAAAAGGTCCTTTATTTCTCACAAGTCAGAGAGAAATAAAGGACCTTTTCTTTAACCCCTTACACTTAAAAGGTTAAATTGTTAACTTTGACGGGTGTATAATAAGTAAATAACCGGTCCTAGCACACTGCTTTGTGGAACACCTGCTTTAATTTCTTTCGTTTCTTCCCGTTAGATATTTTTGAAGAATGTCGACATATTGTCTAGGGAGCATTTTTCAAGTTTCTGTATCAGGCCAGCGTGCCAAACCTTGTCAAATTCTTGGGCTCAGTGTTGCAAGTCTAGTACAATTGTACTAGATCTAGTACATTATTTAAGAATCTGGTACTCTAGTACACTCGAAGCAAAATCAGTACTTTTACTTTTTTCAGCCCGTTTCCATTTGATGGGTAAAATAATATATGGTTGAGTTCTTCGATAAAAGCTTTTTTTTGCTCTTCTGAACCAAACCATCGCAATTCGACAAATATGGTACAATTTCTAGAATCTGGTTCATTTTTATGGAATCTGGTACATTTCTCAAACAAATCTGGTACATAATAATATAATAAAATATAATTTTCGAAACGCGCTTTTCAAATATAATTTTTTTATAATTCGAATAGTAATAGTTTTTTTTCCCACCTCGAATTTTATATAAAGTATAATTTGAATTTAGTACAATCAGTATAAATGTTTTTTTTTTTTGATATCGTCAAGAACGAGCCACCGTTGGTGAATCATTAATATCATTATGTAAAGGGTTTTTATATTTAAAGTGTAAAAATTAATCAGTACTTCTCGCACCTTCAAATGAAAAATATTTCGGAAGTGCGCGTGCGAAATAAATTTTTTTAGTTCGGTTTATTTATTATTAATAACATTGTTATACTATGTTTTTAGTATGTGATGTGTTGCCAATGGTGCCGGATAGATACATTAGGTGAGCATTATTAATTATTTACTTAAATTCAAAGAGAGTGGAATTTTGTCCAAAAGAAATCCCCTTTTTTAAAAAAGAATGTTTGGTAGACTTCTATAATAAATACCTCACTGATTCCAGAAATCGAATAGTTTTCTTTATCCAGTAGAGTGTAGGTAGCGATTTTTAAATACTGTATATTCCGAAATCAATCGTTTTAACTTTTGGTCTACACACGATTTTTTACTCAGGGATACCCGAAGATGTATAACCAAGACAGATAGGATTGTTTACAAAATTTCTGAAGCCAACGCTAAGCGTTTTCGGCAGAAACACAAACATTTGATTGAACATTGTATCCAAGTTTACGGTGTTCTTAATAGTAGTAATGCAATGGGCAAGTTTTTAATCTCCTCGATGGATGCACCGATTGAATAGGGATTGCATCGAGGCGTTTTTTAACTCATGTTTAACCGAACTTTCATCTAACTGTTTGTATTTTCATCGTTGAAAAGAATCGATGTTCAACACATCCATCAGGATTGAAGACCGATGAATGCGATGGATATCCCCACTTTTTGATTCTCTGCACCATGCACGTTAAAATAATTGTAAGGTTGAGGGTTAGAGTTTTAAAATAGAAATTTGAAAATAAATAATTTGTTTTTTTTTAATTATGGAGGAATTTCTTTTATTTAAATTATTCAATCGAGAAGAGTCATCAAGTTCAATAAGTTCATCAGAGGATGATGATGACCAAATGATAAAAATAAGAAGGAAACATGAAAAACCAAAATTTTGTATTAGATGTAGTTAATAACTTATCGGAAATGGATTTTATATCGCATTTTCGATTAAGTAGATCCTCTATAGAGGTCATTTTAATTTTTTTATATCTATCAAATATAGAGGAGATTTTTTTTAAAATATAAATAACTACTAGGAACTTATTAATATTAAAGTTACTAAGTTGACTCTATATGGAAGACCGACAATTCCATTCCTGCATGGTTTATTAGCAACCATATGGTTGTTGGCTACAGAAGAGTCATTTAGATCAGTTGGCGACCGTTTTGGGTTGAATAAAGGCCATATGCATACAATCTTTATAAATTGTTGTAAATTAATTTCAAAACAAGTCAAAACATATATTAAGTGGCCAATTGGCGAATTAGCCATACAAACAGTAGCTGAATTTGATTCACTTCGGGGACCCAGAAGTTTTAAAAATATTATAGGTTGTGTAGATGGGACACATATAGGTATACCAGGTCCACTTGCCGATAATTCCTATTAAAATAGGTTGGGATATTATTCTATGATCTTGCAGGCAGTGTGTAATGCCAGACAAGAATTTTTTTTATTATTATTTATTTTGGGTGGCTGAATTCAGTAAATGATGCTAGAGTATGGCAAAATTTACCGTTATATGATCAATTAAAAAATCAAGATCTACTAGATAGAAACATACTTATTAGGCGACTCAGCTTACCGCCTAGACAAATTTATTATAGTTCCGTTTCGTGACAATGGCCATTTAACACATAGACAGCGTCAGTTTAATAAATATTTAAGTAGTACAAGGGTTGTAATAGAACAGGCATTTGGCAGATTGAAGGGAATGTTTCGAAGAAAAAAGTACTTGAATGTACTAAACCTAGAATACTGCAAATATATTGTATTTACTTCATCATGATTTTTTCGACCTCGAGTTTTTGACGGATTTTTACGTTTTGAGGTCCCCTGAATCCGTTTTAACTATTTTCGCGATAGAATTTACAAAATAACTTGAATACAAATTAAAACAAACTAATTGATAAAACATAATTACTCAGTGAGAAAAACTCACCCTATTCTGCGAACAGTCACTCACAAATATTATAATTAATCACAAGTTTATTATTGAGAAGAACTTTAATTTTGTTCCACAAAGCAACTAACTCAAATTTTAAATGATCTGTAATCTGTATTCTATGTCTGCTTGAGATATTACCCTTAGTTCGCATATTTGTAATCCGATACCTCCGTATCTTAATAATGTTAACATAAACATAGGCTGTGACTGTTTTGGAAGACAATAATTTCGTGCGTTTAAAAACCGAATGTTTCGTAAAATAAATTTGTATAGAAAATTAAATCATTCTTACACACTCAAAGTAAAATTTTCTATTTGGCATCCTTCTACGACTTTTCCAATTTGTTTTGATGAAAGACTTTCCGACATTCAATTTTTTCATTTCATAAAGGAATTTCATTTCAAAAACTAAGGATCTGATATGTCACCAAAATTAGAAAACCAGTGGGTTGTTATCAGCATGTCTGAAATATATGAAATCCCTTTCCGAGAGAGACTCTGAAATGTTTAATTGTGTTTTTCCCGAAAACGTTTTAAAATTATCAAGTTTAAACATAAACAACATTTTACATTTTACACTAAAAAGTCTCATAAAAAAAAGATATGAATAAATAATGAATGAATAAAATAATATTCATTGTCTACAGTTATGCTTGGTCAATTTTGATAACGATTTATAAATACATCGTAAAATTTTTACCAAAAAACTCATATTTTGGACCAAATAACCTGCACTTATGTTATGACTCGCCCTGTATACTATTAAAACGTAAAATTTCGTGACCGTATACCTCGGTCTCATTGTTTCTAATATTTTCGATCCAGGCAAAACATGCTTAATATTTAAATCCGTTTTGGAGGCACGTTTTAAGCGCATCTCTTTCCGTTTCTATTAAAAAAAAAAACGGTTAGAACTCATGATCAGCGGTAATCCAGTTTAACAAACGAGATATGATTTTTGATCTACAGGTAGGTCATTTCCAGGCGCATGGTCAATCCAGCCAATCGGCGTGTAAACGTTAACCCATCGGCCAATTATGCATTTTCTCGTTCGCACTCCCGCGGGACGGCAAATTCCTATTCCTGCGAGATAACCGTGTTCAACGGGCTAAAGTGTACACGTCTGTCGATTGTTCCTGCTAAGACGTTCGTCTGTTTCACAATCGTGTAAGTTGCAACTTGAAACTGTTTACTCTTGTCTTTCTATCGACTTTGACATGTGCTTTCAATGGGAATGGGATTCGTAGGCTTTAAATATAGTGAGTGTTTTGATAGTGTATGGATGTTTATTCAAAACAAAACAGTAATCTATAATTTCGTAACGATAAATCGCGGTCTGGAAATCATTCTGTGTTTGAATCGTTGAGAGTGTGCCACTTGAGCTATTTTCAATCAATCGTCTGCCGCTATTGTATATTTATTTGAATTGAGAGTGAAAAGGTTATCGCCGATTGTTGGTATATAAATCGAGTTACTTTTTATTCGGGGTGAGTTTAATTTCAATTGCTTTTATGACATTACAATAGACCACCGAGAGTGTTGGTTTTTTATCTTTTAAAAACATTAAATAAAACAAAATTAAAAAAAAAATTAATTAAGGAAACATTTTAATTTATTTATTTTGAATAAATCAACTGCAACAAAAGAGATCTAAAATTACTTTCGTATTTTATATTTTTAATAAGTAATAATAATGAATTTTAATTAATCAATCAACACTACGAATATTTTACTAAAAAAGCTGACTAATTATAATAATCATTATTGGATACAAGCACTTTATTTTTTTAAGTGATTTATTTGTGTTTTTAACTTAGTTTGAAGTGCATTAAATAATTTAGGATAATAAAACAAAACTCTACAAAACATTATTTTAATAAAATTAGGCGAGTCCTTTAAGCTTTACAAACTCATCATCACATCCTTCCTGGAAGTAATCTCTACAAACAGAGTGAAACGATTTTACTAACATTGTTATGAGTAAATAAAATTTTGATTGGAATGAATTTATCCTATAACAGTGTTGCCAGATGAACATTTTCTGGAACAGTAGATGGGTGGGAAAAAGCAGTAGTTTTCATAATTGACAGTATAATAATTATATAAGAAACGAAAAATAAACATTTTTGGCTTTTTTACCGAAATTAAAAATTAAACAAAGAATAAAATAAATAAAATTTGTAAAACTTAATGTCAGGAGATAAAAAAAAAATGAAAAATAACAAGTGCCTATTTCTTTTAGATCAATCTGAATCAGATAATTCAAATGTTTTGTTGCATTTTAATCAAAACATCATGATTTTCTGGAAGTTAAATATTTTTTGTGTTGCGCAAACCTACAATATTGGCTGTGTTCAACTTATTACGCTGATTTGACTTCCGCAAATTTACTTGAGGAAATTATCCTTTGTACATTTGCTGAAGAACGAGGCAAACGTAATAAATTAAGTACAAAATTTGTCAAGTTGGCGAAAACAGTAGATTTCATGCCTAAAACAGTAGAACAGACAAAAACAGTACCGTAAAATGGGGCGAAATTGTTCAATCTTTTTTTGTTTTAAAGTGTATTTTCATTCTAAACTCAATAATCGCAACGAATTTTACATAAGAAAGTATAGTTACAATATATAAAACATTTAAAATATTTAAAATTTTTCCCTTTATAATGAAAATACCAACTGATCACTTTTATACCTACAGTGGGGTCAAATTGATCACGTGTATTTAAATGCATATAAATAACGTACAAACACTGGGAATATGATTAATTTAACCCCGACGAAATTTTATTTGGTCGGAAAAAAGTTATATAATTTCATGATAGGGGCGAAATTGATCAATCTATAAATTTGATTTTTGTATAATAATAAAGTTTTATTGGCAAATAATAAAGTTTTATTGGGAAAGATAAAATAAAAGGACAAAACTATGATCAAACAGAACACAGAAAAAATAGAGGCAGGTAGGAGACTATATTTCATTAATGTCCACTATATTTTTGAAAAAATATGTTTCTTAGCCGTCGAAATGTTTCATTTCGGGATCTGTCAGCACAGCAATTATGTCGGAAAAGTGAATTGAGAATAAATCATCACAGTTTGAAAAATCTTTTCTCCCCTCTACTAGAGACTTCATGCCTAATACTTCAGTTTCGTCTTCGGAAATATTCTGGACCATAGCAACGTATCTATAGTTGGTTTTCTTCCTTAAACCCACTAATACTTTCACCAGCAAAAACTTCCCTTTTTCTACGTTATTCTCGTTTGGAGTCAGATAATCTACTTCTTCCTGGATATCTTCGTTGTCGGAATCATCGTTGGTTAGTGATTCAGGTGGACTGGATTGGTTATCTGAGGCTTCGACAGGCGCAAACACTCTTTCCGGGTTCGACTACAAGCTTCTGTTTCCTTACATTTCGTCTGCTTGGTATAGCTGCAAACCTTTAACAAGGACATTATTGACAGCTTGATCAGGTTCTTCTTCGGAGTTTGCTGATGAAATTTTTCGCAAGATAGACTCAGGATCGAATGGTGCTATTCCACTGGCTCTGAAAGACGTTGTCAAGTCTTTTTTTACGGCGCCATTGGCGTCTTTCTTATCCATCTCTAGCAAGGTCGTGTTTAGCAAGTATGGATGCCGAAAGCTAATTAGCAGCTTTCCATCTGGTTAGAACGCCCCTCCAAACGATTTTGAAAGGTCGGGAAAACCCGACATCCAATGGTTGGGTAATATTTGTCGAGTTCTTCGGTAGACACACAAATGAAATATTATTTTCGGCGCACAATCTTAACACATCGTGGTAAAATGAGACAATAATTTGTCTCCAATTAATACTTTGTGGCCTTCCAGTCTCCTGGCATGTGGCAAAAATGAAGAAACAAACCAATCACTAAAGGTTTGCGCGTTCATCCAGCCATGGTGTTTGCGGTTGAAAAGAGAACCCGTTGCGCAGCATCTTTCATTACAACAGGGCGGTCCCTTTGGGCCTTTCTTGGTTCATTGTAGCCTCATCTTCTCCGATTTATAGATCATAACTGACGTCGCAGTTTTCGCGAAGTTACAAATATGTTCGGGATATTTAGTGCCCCTGCGAAACATCGTCCCCTTTTGACCTGGATCGCCTTGCAAGTTCGTCTCGTCATAGTTAAAAATATGAGACGCCGGAACTCCTTGTAGGGTTGTTTGCAAATTTGCGAAATAATCTGCGACAACTTGCCGTGATACGTTGGCTCGAGATCGTTTGATGTTTGCTGCCAATTTAAGGGACACATCATTTTTAAATCTACGCAAAAGAGACTATGCCCAATCTATCCATGGTAAGTTATTCTGAAACTTTTTTATAGCGCGACCCGCACTATCTAGATAGGTTTTGGTAAGTTCTCTAACATCTAACAGTGTCAAAGGGAATCCCCATTCCCCACACGTAAAAATAGCCTTAATGAAGGATTTTTCTTCCTTTGTAGAAAAAACAGACTGACCACAATTTTTGCCACCCCGTCTTCCATGATAAAGATTGTTGAGAGTCCCGTTTGGAATTTTATACTCCTTTGATGCTTTCCGTATGTCCCACCCATGGTCTACAATTTTTTCAAGGGCACGTTCTACGTTCTCGTCAGAGTAGTTTTTGTAACTTCTCGCCCCAAGCTTTTTTAAATAAGTTCGAGGCATAGTTAGATCCCTAAAACAAAATATAGTGAGTGTTAGTACCAAAGTCAGTTGTCCTTTTTCTTTAGAAAGGCGGTCAAATTCACCCCACACCGACGATCAATTTCACCCAACAGTTGTGGTCAATTACACCCCACGACAATTTTTTTGAATTTCCCGCTTTCCCACTTTAAGCATTGTCAAACTGGCAGTGTGAAATATAAAACAAAACATCACAATTTACGATATTGTAGGTAAATAAACATTAATACAAACAGTTTTCAACGTACCTTGGAAAGTTTTCGATGTACCAAAAATGATGAAAATGTAGGATCACTTTAAAACTTATTTTTTTTTTTTTTTAGGAAAACTTGAACATTTTGCCGAACAAAACACATATACGTTCTCGTTGTTCATTGACCTAAGTGAAACAAGTTTGCCAACTTTCACACAATGCGAGCGCCAAATTCAAAAACATTGGAGTTTGATTTAGGGATCAATTTTGACCCACAGAATCAATTTCGCCCCATTTTACGGTAGATCTACTGTTAAAACAGTAGTTCTGGCAACACTGTCCCTTGTAGTTTTTTTTTTTCTTTTTTGGGTTAGGACTTTTTTAATATTTCAACACCCCCCTCAACCCCCCCTCCCCATTTTAATTAATTTTTTTTCAGAATCAATAGGCTTCATATTCTAATATAGTTTGATTTTTACTAAAAATTATATGTTGATATCGCTTTTCGTTTTTGATTTATGATTTTTTTTTTTATTTCAACCCCCCTTAACCCCACAGTTTTATTAAGATTTTTTTATAATCAAAATGCTCCTTTCTTTTATAGAGCTTGATTTTTTTAATCATTTCAATTTGATATCATTTTTGGTTTTTTAGTTAGAATTTTTTAAATATTTCAATCCTCCTTGACCCCCATATATATTTAGATTTTTTCAAAATCAATAGGCTTCATTTTCTTATAATGCTTGATTTTTCCTGAAGACTTCAGTTTGATATCGTTTTTGTTTCTGAGTTTGGATTTTTTCAATATTTCAATCCCAATTTTATTTTAGATTTTTTCAGAATCATCCTCTTATAGAGCTTGATTTCTACTAAAAATTTCATGTTGATATCGATTTTCGTTTTTGCTTTATAATTTTTTTTAATTTCACTTCCCTTAACCCCCACATTATTAATCAGGTTTTTCAAAATCAAAGGGCTTCTTCCTCTTGATATCATTTTCCGTTTTTAAATTAGGATTTTTTTTTTAATGTTTACATGAGTTTCGAAAGCTGACCATAAACTGCGCGTAAACTGGCCTTTCATTTTTTTAATTATTAAGTTTATATTATCTCCAATACAATAGGTTTGCTGGAAAAGTCACCCTCACCTCTGCTATCATCCGTTTAATTGTTTTAATTGCTTCTCCAATTTTCCTATTTTTAAATTTTTCTCTTTCAACTGATTTAAAAAATGTATAAAATATGGTGTTTGAAGTAATTAGTTTATGAGCTACAAAATTTTAAATTAAAATAAAATTGAATTATGCGAGACTTTTATTTTAATGATTTTATTACACGTTTCCAATGATAGAACGAATATTTCATTTTTAACATTTATTATATCAACTGTTCGAAATGACCACCACTTACTTTCGTACAATGGTATAAATTTAGTTTTAAATGCCTCTTTGACATTACCGGCATTCATTCTCTATTCTTTGTCGTACATTTTCTAAAGATTCTGGTTGGATATCATACATTTATGTTTTCAAATAACATCATAAAAGGAAGTCTAGGGGTGTTAAATCCGGTGGCTATTTCATCAACAACCCTCTTCTACTTATCCAACAAGCGGGAAAATTTCAAGCAAATCTTCGGAAAGATTATCATTTTCTATTATTGTTGTATGTCGAGGCCTTATTTTCGTTTGTCCACTCAACATAAATTAGTTATTACATCAAATAAGGTTCATTTCATATCAAATCAACTAAAATAAAAAGAGATATGAGCGACCATCTCCCCGATTTTGATAAAATTTGGTACACCGATTCTCTATATGGGTGGGATAAAAAATCCAAAATATTTTTTTTTTTAGTTATTTTCAAACATCGAAAAATTTCCAATTTTGGTCCAACACAACTTCACAAAAATTATAATATCTTGAGAACTGCTTACTTTAGATCAATAAGATATAGCTCGTTGTAAAGTTAATTTAAACACCTTTTCAACGATGTGTCACATGACCTATTTTATTTTATTCTGGTTTTTTAAAAATTTGAAGAAAATATTTTTTGATTTTTGAAAAAAAAAAATGTTTATCAATGCTTTGGCAAAATATGTGCCAAATTTCAAAAGGGAGAAATCATGGGTTCAGTATGAAAGAAAATAAAAACAAGAAAACATGTGAAAATCTAATTAAAAAGTGAAAATTATGAACATTTTTGGCCTTATTTTTGTAACTTTCTTAAGATTAACTATTTTACAAGAAATATATTATTATGAAAAAATATTTACAAATAGTTTTTGGTTTTAATTTTTCTTTTCAAAATGTCTTCCCTAGTTGGGAAATGGACTAAAAATGGCGGCCGTTTCTGTCATTTAACAACGTATTAGTAAATCATGCTTTTTATAATAACTAAAATTTCCTATTACCGCACAAGAGAACAGAATTTCTTCAAATATTTTGCTGAAGAAGACAATTTCGTAATTTGTAAAGATGTACCTGGATTGATGGCTGCAATGGGATTACAAAATTATGTTTCTAGTGAGTGACGTTTATTCATACACTCGTCAAAACGGAGTCTAAAATGTGTTCTCTTACACAATGTGAATAAATTAGGGCCGTTGTCTATTGCACATTCTACAAAAGTAAAAGAAGAATATACAACTATTGCTCAGGTTTTGGCCAAGTTTAAATATGTGGAAAATAGTAAGGTAAGGTAAATAATAAGGTGGGTTAAAAAGGATTGGCCTACTGGGAAAGATCTAGTTCCAGGACAACAAAACGTGATAAACCCACCCTTAGTGTCAAGAGATCGTATAATTTTGCCTCCGATGCATATAAAATTAGGTCTTAACAAAACTGGAAATTGTTTTCTATTTCTATCAAAAAAATTCCCGAAACTGAGTGTAGAAAAGATAAAAGCGGGCATTTTCGATGGGCCACAGATAAGATCATTAATAAAAGACACATGGAATGAGTTTGTTTGGCTTGTTCAAAATTTCTTGGGAAATAAGAAAAGTTCTAACTATTCTCAACACGTTGAACAACTAATTAGTCACTTTCAAATCCTTGGATGTAACATGAGCATCAAGTTGCACTTCCTTTACAACCATCTAGATTATTTTCCCGCTAATCTTGAGGTTCTAAGTGAAGAACAGGGCGAGCGATTCCTCCAGGACCTTCGTACGATGGAGGAACGACATCAAGGCTACTGGAACGCACACATGATGACTGATTATTGTTGGAGCATTCAGAACAATTCTATGGGTTCAACCTCTGCAAGGAAGTCTCATAAAAGAAAGTTTTTTTCACCTGAAGAACTAAATAAAATATGATTAACTTTAAACAAATTGTGTTTTACTATGAAACGGTAATGTGTCATATTTTCTAAACTAGAGTTAATACAGAAATTTAGATTACAGATTTGAAGTATTCATTAAAAATTAAGCTAGTGTCATGTAATATAACTCATTCATCAAAAATGCTGTTGTGCAGTGTTATTAATGTAAATTCTCTTTATTTTTTCAGGTAATGAACTGTTTTACTTTGCGGTATTGGTGAGTTAAATTTTTTATAAACGACTTATTAAAAAAAATGTTTTGATCCGTCACTGGTTAAGAATTTTCCCATCACGGTTAACGTGTTAGAAAGTATCCCTGAATTTTTCATCGACACAAATTTTTGTTCAAAAACTTATCCAGTTAGGGCGGCAACTTCCGATAATTTTTCGGTTTTTTTTACATTGTTTGAATTTGTGATTCAATTTTACTCAGGAGAGAAGAGTTCTTATCAAAATTGAAAGCGTGTTTTTTCTAACCCTCTGCGAACGATGTTCCATCTAGTGGGCGTAAAGAAAACTTTTCTCGATGTTAAAACGATTTGAATAATCTATATTTAAAACCGTAGGTAAAGTTAGAATTATTAAAGTATCAATTAAATTATAACGTTACAGCAGCGGGGCTCAAATTTGATCGATTTTTGAAGTTTACGTTCGAAAACATATTTTGTATTTTTGTACTTGGTGTTTACTCCAAATAACTTTTAATGGAGTAACTTTTGGTAAAAAAACGTACATTTTTTATAAATGATTAAATTTACTAAAATTTAAAAATATTGTAATAAAAGCGATTTCATAACTATGAAACATTTTTATAATATTTTTAGGCTCTTAAATCATTTTAAAACATTTCGAAAAAGATTGCAATTTAAAAAAAACAAGGTGCTCTTTTTATATTATTTTTTTAAATGTTGTATATTTCAAAAGCCTAAAATAGCATTAAAATGTGGTATATTTATTTTTATAAAACAAAAAACTTTATAAAAAAGTCCGCAAAGCTTTCATTATTTGTAGCATTTTTTTTCGGGATATGTTATAATATTTCAAGAGCCTAAAAATATGATGTGGTTATTTTTTTTTATTAAAAAAAAACTTTAAAATACCCAGTTTCTCAGCTGTCTTGGTTATAGCAAAACACCCTATATTATTTAAAAATAACAATTTTTTTAGAAAAGTTTTTTATTCCAAGAGCCTAAAAATGTGGAGTGGTTGGTTTTAGAAAGAAACTTTAAAAAAATCGAGGTACTCTGAAGGCTTTGTTCGAAGCTGGCAAAGCACCCATTATTTTTTTAAAAATAACAATTTTTTAGAAAAGTATGATAATATTTCAAGAGCCTAAAAATGTGGTGTGGTTGTCAAAAAACACTTTAAAAAACCGAAGTGCTCTACTGACTTTTGTTCCAGCAAAGCACCCTATTTTATTTAAAAATAGCAATTTTTTAGAAAATTTTATAATAATTCAAGAGCCTAAAAGTAGCATAAAAATGTGGTGTGATTGTTTTTAGAAAGAAGCTTTTAAAAACCGAGGTACTCTGATAACAAAGCACCACCCCATATTTTCAAAAAGTTTTATATTTTAAAAGCCTAAAATTATAGTTTGGTTGTTAAAAAAAAAAACAAAAAAAAACGAGGATCATAAAATTTTTGAATATAGTATAAAAGTAGCTAATTTCTATATTAAATTTTCGAAAAAAAAAAAAAAATATGGATGAAGCAGTATTTTTCGAGAAAAAAAAAATCCCAATTTTAAGGTTATAATCACAAAACAATTACTATAGATGTCAATTTCTGGATTTAAAAATAACCAACGTTGTCAAGTTGTTAATAAAATTATAAGGTTAAGGATTATTTAAAATTTCTTCTAATTACGAGATTATAAAAATGAAGTAATCAAAAATCATACATTTTTCGTTTGTTTCAAAAAGACAAGTACAGTAATAATCGTATATAAAATAAAAAAATTAATTAAACTTTCTTTCACTCTGATCTCTCGGCTATGGTGTACGGTCTGGCCTGGAAACATACGACCTGGAGCTACAAAGCGGTATTCATAGTAACACTTTCCATGCGCATACGGGCCTCTGAATATACAACAAGAAAACGAAACAACGACTTTTCGTAGGGTGGCGACTTCGCCGCCACCAAAAAATGTCAACCCATACCTGGCTACGCCAACCGGCATAAACTCCAACGGCCTGGACACAGCTCAAATTGAAATGAAAAGTCTCACATATAACACATTATATTTTCGTATTATCATCTACATATGCGTAAGTATGGAGTGTGTTACTACGAATACCGCTTCCTCCTAGAGCCATAGCAGGTACTAGGGTCTGGCCAGCCCATGAACCTGGCTCCCGACTTTTAACGAACGTGTCTTCATCACGGGCATCTAATAATGGAGCGCTAAATTTTCATGGCAAACTAACAGTGATATAGAATGAGAAAAAAATATTAAACAAAAAGAAGAAGCAACAAATTTTCGAAAATAGCAGCCCATACCTGGCTACGTCGACCGGCATAGACTCCAATGGCCTGGACACAGCTCAAACTAAAAGGATGGCTGTGATTACTATAAATGTTTTCACTTCGGGAGCCAAATTCACATTCCGTAAACTTTTTTTAAACATACTTTTAAACATAAACAAATACAATCAGAACAAAGTAATAATTAATAATATATTTGTTTTGTAATTCACCTATAACCCATAATTATATTTTCATCCCATTCAAAATCTTAAACTTGGAAATTATCAGACAGTGATAAAAATCAACAATATAGTATGGCAACGTTGCAAACTCGAGGACCGTATGTGTCAAGAACTGACAATTTCATGAATCACTTTATTTTAAGTTTTATGGAAGGAAATGATGAAAAGTTAGGTTAAATCATTCAAAATATTGCATTTTATTATAATATAAATAAAAATAGCAAATGAAACTTAATCTTCCGTAATTAATTTCAGTTAAAATATTATAAAAAGTAAGTAACTTCAATATATTAGTGCTAAAATTATGAAATTCGCACCTCAGGATCCTTCACCAGAACGTAGCCTAAAAATAAGGCATAGGTTCCAACTTAATAATCCCTAGGTGCTCTGCTGCCTTCATTGGTATCCGCTTTAGAAATAACTAGGTCTCACCCAACTCAACCATGACCTTCATTCATCAAATGGCTTGGCATCAATGAGGTATAAGTTAGATATGAAGTCAAATCATCACACCTTTCATTTTCAACCAAACTTACACTACATTAATATTATGCATCTACGAATAAAAGAAAAAGGTTCAATAGGTATTTAGCATCGTTACTCATTTCATACAATAACACTAGAACAACTCCAGAATTTAATAAAGATGTTTGTTTCTTAGGATGGCTTCGTTTATTATATCCTGAGATTATTGATGTTTTGTTGACTTGTTTTCTATTTCATTTGCGAAGGTTGCGGAACTTATTTTTCGTCGCAGTTAATTAAATTCATCATTATTATGTGCTAATTTGCAGCGTCTCGGTTCTTTCGATATTATACAATGGGCGTCGTTTTACTTTTACGTTTTTTATTATTCCTTATTTTGACGTAGGTTTTTGTAATAATTAGAAAATGTCTTTAAAAATAGGTTTTAATGAGCAGAATTATGCATGACATGAATACATAATTGACAGCGATTAACAAATGCAAAGATAGAGATACGAGTCATGTCTGTCATGACTACGCACGGCTCTAAATTAAATGCATACTAACCCTCGTCAATTTTTCCAATGCCTTTAGAAACCTTTTTTCTGGATCTCTCCATATAAGGTATATTTATTTCTAGAAAAGATTTTAATATACCTTCTCGGAATATCAATTTAATGATAAATTTTTCTTTCTAAATTATGCATTTTCCAAATGTTGATATTGAATCTTACCTTTTAAACAATCCTGACTAGGTTTCTAAGATATTCCAATTTATTTATATTTACATTTATTTTAAAATACCCAAACTACTAATAATTTGCTCAGAAATATTCTCACGAATGTGGTACATAAGTGTACTAATTCGCCTCATAGCACAGAATGGTAGGGCTGCCGACACTGTCCTTTTGACTCGGAAACTCCGGGTTCCGAATTTACATTAACCTATTGAGGAAGGAATTTTTTTTAATTATATATATATTGTTAAAATTCTCTTTTTGATCAGAAAGTTTTAAAACATTTTTTCTTGAAATTTACTTTTTAAAAAAATATCCATTGCCTGCCTTATGGCAACGCTTGGCGCTTTCCATGCAGTTTCTGAAAATCGAAGTAAATGGAAAATAACTTATGACAGAACTAACATTTAATTAAAAATTTAAATTAACAATACGTTACGGCTTGTATTAAAGAGAAAAACTGGATGTATATAAATTGTTTGGAATAGCATAAAACAATCGATGTACTCGTACATACAGACCAACGTTACACTTATTGCACATTGTTCGATAATGTAAATATACATATACTATTCTGCATATTTTTTTAATTATATTTATCTAATATGAATGTATGTAGTTGTAAAATAACGAAGATAATCGTAACAATAGTTTAAATCTTAAATGACCAACATTTCAAGCATTCAAACTTTGTAGTAAGTTCTGCAAAGTGTTCATTTGCAGAAATAATAATGTTTATTGTATTACACCGAATTTAATACTTAATGCCAAGCCATTTTGATTTTCCAACACCCGAAACTTCTAACGTCACTTCAGGTCCATTTAGATTATTAATCTGAAAACGTTCTAATTCCAAACTGCAATCGAAGTTTGTCCAGATTGAACAGTGTTGTTTAATTGTTTAATCAATTGTATCACTGGAGGGATTAATCAAATTGCCTGGTCTCCACCAGAGCTGTGAGTTAAGGAATGGTGGTATTGACCTCCTTTCGAGCCATTTCACCAAAAATCTAAATTTTCCTTGTTTTGTCTTGATAATTTTCTATTTTACATTGATCAACTGAATACAATTTTCTAGTTTATATTTATAAAATTTAATTCTTGTCAGGTGCCTGCAAAAAAAATGGAGGCATGCTAAATATATACGAGGATGTAATAATGTCTACTTAATCTTGTTCAGCTCCGTCTGGATTAATAAAAGATTTCGATACCATTACATCGAACAGTAACTTATTAAAAATGCATCGTGAAATATGCTTACAAAAATCTGTTATCAGCAAAATTGAGGGAAAATATTAGATAACATC